CACTCTTTCATAAAAAAAAAAAACTAGTCTACCAATTCTAATAATTCTCTAATTTACTAAATTTAGTAATTGCAATTTAAATCTTGTGTACTTGTATTATTATATTTTGTAATTGTAATCTTCAATTTATACTAGAGATTATTAATGCACGTATATGCCCGTATTTAACACGCTAATTGTTGCCATTAGCTAAAAATAATTTGTCACTCGAATTGACGCCGATATTAATTACTTTTATAATTCCAGTCTTTAATATTGCTAATAATATTGTGGCTCGTGTGTATTCATTGCACGTTTAAATATTGCTGTCATTATCTAGGTTTATACTTATATCGCGAATTGCTGTAATCAATAGATAAGTTTTACGATGTAGATATTATGATAATATAATTATATTGCACTAAATATATTGTAGCGTAAAATTATTACCCATTATATTTTCTTATTAAAAACTTGTTATAAAAAATTTTAACCATGAGATATAGAATTACCTGGCAAGGTAGATATAAATAACAATAATAATAAATTGCGCTATTGTTTTTATTTTTATATCTTAAATAACAAAATATTTGATGGAAATGTCTCTCCTATTTTAGATCGACCAACTGCCTCTTTATCAACGCGATGTCACATAGTATTTCGGGAGACACTAAAAATGTTCGCGGTGCAAGTGCGTTCAGCGTGACAAACATAACTGCATGAAATATATTGCGGATGCTGCTACATCCTGTATGACATAAATTGAGTTTGCCTTTGGTTCTTTCATTTTATACGCCTACGTTTGCCGCTCTCGCGATGTAACGACAAGTAAAATATTGTTAGAGGAAGCTTTAACGGAAATTACCTGTTTTTTTATCTGTCAAATTTTTCCGTTATCGACGGTTTATTTATCAAGAAAAAGATATAAAAGTAAAAAAAATGTATACATTTTTTCGATAAAATTTTTTGACACTGATTGTAGCATCAAACTAACAACGAGCGTCTGTTTATCACCGCGTAAATTTAATATGATTAAGAGATATACTTACAGAGTCGATGTATAAAGCGGCAGATCCTTCGGTATCGCAGTTAATCTCTTGTTAGAGCAATCAACCGTTGCACCATTGCACGTACAGGGCGCGGGACAGGCACCAGGCAGAATACACTCGCCGGCCCTTTTTGTTAACAGCTCCTCGTCACCTGCGGACAAAGTTTCGAGATAGAGTCGAACTCGGAACAATCGCGCCTGAGCAACACTTCCGCACTCAATCACGACCTTTCTCCGGGTTAAGACGGGAATAATGCACACGTGTCCGTGTCGCAAAGCGTTGTTCGATATCCCGGTCACGAATGAATGCTGAGGACGAAGCATTCCTTCGTGAAAATTATGTCAATCAGACGTAATTATACGATAACCGTGATGATGATGATGATGATGTCGATTCATTAACGATAAATTTTGATAATGAACAGTGTAATTAATGACGTCATTAAACGAACCACTCGTAGGCGCGAGGCCGTATGTGCTTGCACGTTAATCGAGTGTTTAACGTCGTGCGTTAGTGTTGAGGACTAAATATGTTTATGTATGAATGCGGCTATGGCAGAAATGATTTATCATCGTATTATACACCACATTACAATTTGCCGGGTGTGATGTACGCATACGTAATTATATTGACGATACACATTGCACCGCGTATAATGCCGGTTTATATGATGTATATCGATTGTACTTTCTCGAAAATACAATAGTGATTTTTATTCATCGTCAAGATCGTTAAAAGAGAAGAAACCAAGAATTGACTTTTTCTCTCTTCTGTTATCGAATGCGCACACATATTTATTTCTCTTTGTCTTCGTCGCTGCATTTTCAAACGAATAAAATCGCGAATTAAGACCTAATAATTGATGATATTAATCAAAATAAGGAACTACCAATTATTTTTCACATCAATATAATATATAGTATATAATATAAATAAAAATAAAAAAAATATCATATAATAATTTTGTAGTAGTTGTTTTACATAAATATGTATTAGTTTTATGTATATAATTAAGGTAAATAGTAAAATAAAAAAAAATGTAAAATTGCTAAGTTAAAATGAATCGATTACTTTCCGTTGTTTGATCCACCTTTCAACGAACCGCTTCAGTGATATTCTTACGGGAGTGCTGTATAAGGAGCGACATTCGTTTCCTTCTGCAAAGACTAAAAGCACTTTTCTCCTAATTCTCGCGAAATCCTTCGTAAAACAGAAGCAAGGGTATTGTGTAAATTTTTGCCGTAGCCGGCGGTGCGCAAGTTGCGAAAGTTGTATACAAGTTTTATGCTGGTAACGTAAGTTCTTGTTTGCAGAGCTACACGTAGCAGTTATGCGCGTTTATACCGGCGTATATGTGTGCACATATGCGTGCTACCAACATGTTTGTCTTCCACTAACTCTGAATTGAGTTTTGTATAAGTACATGCGGGGTAAGTCGTCAGAAATGGATATCATCTTTTCTTCCAATCGCATTAACTATGCTCATATGCTACCGGAATAATATAACAGTCTGTTTTATTCTTTCTTGTGTGAATAAATCAATGTAACGATATAAGATTAAATAAATATTTTTTATTTCTTGAAGGTAAATTTCTATCTCTAGCGATATCGATTTTTAAATATAGTTATTGCGACACACATTAAATCAATTTTAAATTTTGATTGCATTGATATTTGCGGCAAGCATTATATCAATATTTATATAAGCATGCTAAATTTGTTTTTTAGAAACATATATATCACAAATCGCAGAACAGTTTTTTCTTGGTAAAACTATGTCAAATTTGTTTGCGTGGTTAGTTGGTATATATGCAAGATGTTAACAAGCAAAATGTTAATGCGGCTCTTCGGTTTTTGCATCTTCTCATTCCTATATAACCGAATATATACTTGTACACATACAGCAGTATGTATATGTTTTTCGGAATTACGTGGCATATAAGGAAAATGCATCCGAGCAAAACTTGAAGCTGCAGGTAGGAATGTTAGAAACTTTTAGGTATTATTGTCAAACGAATACAGCAAATACGAATTTCTCAACAAAACATATGCCATACAATATATGATGCATTTCAGAGAAATGTGATGATATCCGTACCCATCTTCAATAAATTTCTCTCGAATTATAAATGTCACAGAAAGATAAAATAAATGCAAACTACCGTGTGATGGAAATAACTGAGATATAAAATTCTTATATTTCCATAGAAGCCATACATTAAACTTGATAATCATTGAAGATATAAATGACTTTAATCATAGAAGATATTTTTGTATGTAAGATTGATGTAATATTGTTGAAACATCTTCAACTGTCTTTCTAAAATGCTGAGAATATCAAAACGGCAATGTATATTAAAATTTAAAATAGTTATGTACACATAAATCATAGTTTCCTTATCTGTATCCAACAACATCCTTATATCTTAACGGTATAACGTGCTCAAATATTTTCCTACGATTTTCTTCCGTGAGCAAACATAAAATTTCATGTCGACAGACATATAAAATATCGAAAAATGCAACCTTTCTATGGCACGCTTATCTACATCGATCATTTGTATGCAGCTTTATTTCGGTAAATGATTATCGTTCGTACGAGCACGAACGAAACGAGTTTGCGAGCGTGCCTGCAAATGCACATAATAACATCGACTGACATTAATGCATACCTACCATGTTATATTAGATTAGCGAGATACATCCATCGGCAATTACATACGACCGGCAAAGTGACCAGCATTTATCAAGGGATCCTACTGTGCGAGAACACCTATATAGATCGTCTGGTCACCTGTTCCGGACGTGTCGACAAGAACGAAGAAGAATTGAGACAGAGAGAAAGAAGAAGACGTACGTGTCTGGATATGGGATGCAAGAAACATTGGAAGTAACGGTGGGTGATTTCACACGAGCGAAAATGGAAACCGAGGATCAGTTCAGAAGTGGCACACTGTGTGTTATCATCCATCGAGTGATTGATAATAAAGTAATACGATCGATCAATTTCAATGATTCGCATCGACTTTCAATATATCCTTTCTGTCAGCAAGAGAAGACTATTAATTTATACGCATGTTAAATTAATTTGATCTTTTCTTCTAATTATATATTCGCTTTTTTTTGCTTTCTATTTAAGATAGTGCACGTTTTGGTCTTTAACGATTCAAGAGCCAAGATGAAATGAGTGATGACAATATTTATCTAAATTGTGTTGATGCAAAGATGATTAAATTTACACAGATACGTATGTATATGAATGTATGATAATACGAAAATTCGCGAAGATGTGAAATGTAAATGCAAGTCGGCGAATAATAGGGGTCTATTTACATTCATCGTGCAACATATCTTCCTTCACATAAACTACCGACCTGTATACTATCCTGCCGAAGTGTTAAGAAGAGATATACCGGAAAAGTCGAATTGTGCTTACCCTTACATTTGAACTTGTCGTCCCGCATCGAATCGATCTTCCGTTTCTGCGCTCTTTTTGGCGTTTCGCATTTAGCGCCGGATGTCTCTATAGGGTGCGCGTGAAGATACGCGCTCAGCCATCGTAAATTGCAATCGCAGATGAATGGATTCCTCGCCAAGTGTCTGTGAAAAAAAGAATCAGGTCACTGGTAATGCTTTAAAAGTTGCATGAAATACTTTTCTTGATTAATTATTTTTAAAATAATGATTTTTTATAAAAGTGGATTTTTTCAACATGCTAGTGTAAATGTCCGTAAAAAATTTTTTCATTGATAATACGAACAATGTTTTAATGCTTCGCAGATTGGCAAAAGTCCCATTAGCTAATGAACGTATGTTGTTATCGTATAGAGACAACAAGGTGAGACTGGTTAAGTCTTTGAACAGGTCTGTTCGTATGCATGATATCTCATTGGCATTCAGCAACCTGAAACAATAAGTTTCGCCATAATTTCCAACAGTTGCTTCGTTGCAATACTTCACGGGAAAGCGAGAACAATACGTAAGGCTATGAATAAAAACATTTTCTTCAGTAGTTATAATATGAATTATTAATTTTCTCGCCTTCTTAAAGTTGACCTCGCATCATATAAAAAAAAAGCTACCTACGTATTAATGTAATTTATTAATTTCGACAAGATTTCTTTATGCAATTGTGTGTTTTGATTCTAAACTTTAATTATGTTTTGTAATTTTCTGTATCTACTCACAACAATTGCAAATTTGTCAAGCCTTGGAAAAGACCAGCCGGTAGCTCTGTGATTTTGTTGCCGTACAAAACTCTGCAACAAAATACATCACCGTTTATTGTTACAGAAAAAAAGGAGATTTTTAAAAATGTATCAATATAAAAAGAGAAAAAAATACATACAGAGATTCGAGTGACTTTAAACCGTGAAAAGCGTCCGCCGCTACTTTTTTTATCTGGTTGTTACTCAGGTCACTGCAGATGGAAAATCGGAAACATACGAAATACAAACATAGAAAATTAAACGTTTCGTGCACGATCGAATAATAGTGTGTATATATGTTAGAGCAGGTCAGTCACGAACGTCACTCACATTCTTCGCAATTTTCTATACGGTGAGAAAGCCTTTGGTGGAATTTCCGTAATGCCATTCTGTTCCAATCGTCTGTGCGGGCAATAAAAAAAAGCAAATTACAAAAATAAATTAGCACATTTATGCTAATAGCCGCTTAAAATGCCGGCTATTGATCGCTTTTTGTCTATTTGTACTATCTTCTTCGTGTTTTGTTAATCTTTTCAGTTTTCCACAAGTATGTATAAAAATAAATTTTTCATGCCCGTTACATTTATTATTATTTCCTTTATTAATAGATTCCACAAAACCATCTGTGATTGTCGGCTTTATATAGGATTATATCGAAATATAAATAAAAATCACAAAATTAAAAAATTATTAGTACTATTATTTTTTGCTATTTTTTGTCACAACGAACAATTACAAGTGCCCAAAAATAAAAAAGAAATACAGCAACGCATACTTGAAATAATGTGTACTTGAGTCACAATCCACGTTATCAATAATATACGAACAAGAAATAAATTTCAGGTGAAGACGAGATACATACAATGCGCGATCATGGCATGGCGGTTTTACTTACAACTCAGTGGTATCCTCGGGAAGGTGGGTTGGCACTTTCGTCAAGGAGTTCTCCCTGCAATCGACGATCCCATCAGCGCATTTACAAGGATGCGGGCACTGAGGTTCAGCGCTGCATTCCGATCCCGTTCGCTCAACCAGGCCTGAACACTTGAATTCGTGCTCCTGCAAACAATAGGTTTAGAAGTCGTATCAAGCACGAAGTAGGTTAGCAAAGATGTCGATAAACTTAACGATTGTTAAAATACTTCAATAAAATCTTTTTTCTCATATAATATTTGGTTGATGATTAGACTATTCTATTCCATTAGAAAGTTTGACAGTTATAAATACGTAAATAATTTAATATAAAAATGCATTTGTAATATATTTTTGTGTGTAATATATATTAATGTATTATAGATATATTTATAAGTATCTATATAAATGTTAACAAAAAATAAATATTTGTAAATTTTGCCAAGAGTTTAATCGACGATAATTTGTCTCTCCAATCAGCCTCACCTGTAGATCGGCGAGATTGCGGTCCTTGAGATGAGCCGGAGATGCACATCGTGTGTGTTGCCCTAGGCGAGGATAACTCCTCAAATGACGCGATAGCCATGCTAAATGGCAATCGCAAGCGAGAGCGTTGTCCGCAAGCTTCAAAGTTCGCAAATGCGACAAACCGTTCAGCATCTCCTTGCCGAGCGTTACGAGTTTGTTGTTGTTTAACATTCTGAAATGGATATTTAGCACGTGTTTATCTTCTGTCAAGCGCGAAATTATTTTTATAGAAAATCCACTCTCTCTATCTCTAAATAAAATTTTATCAGACACATCTACATATACTTACAATATTTCTAAATCTTTCAATTCTCGTATCGAAGCTTCGTCCACGCAGGTCAGTACGTTGTTGTCAAGTAATCTAGGAAAAAAAATAACAATTTATGTTTTCCAAATAAGCAAAATAATTTAGTAAATCATAAACTTTTTAAAAAATATTACAGTTATATAAAATTTCAAAGTTTTGTCTCTTTCACTCATGCTTAAACTTGATAAATGACATTGAAAAAGATTTACAATGTAGAAAAACATGATACTACAGTGTTTCTCGACATATATATTTAAAAAGTAGACTCAATCGTAGATTTTATCTAGATTTTTGTTAGAGAACATTAGCTGCAATGTGAGTAAAGTTGTCATACATAAAACATCTTGAGCTTATAATGGACTACTAGACTTTGACTAAATGGCCTTGGGTGAGATTGCTATGAAACAATCTATCTTTGTAGCAAGTAAGTCTGATAAGATACTTACAAATGTCTAAGAGCGGACACTCCTCTGAGCGTCTTTGGTCCTATAGTGGCAATCTGATTGTGACTGAGGTCTCTGTAATACAAAATACAATATTTTTTCTAAACGTCAGATCTTGATCTACGTATTAACTAAACCATTCGTTTTTAGTCAAATCCAGTAATTATTATCTTAAATATTAATATAGTTATATTATTATTTAATTTTAATTAGTATAATTAAAAAAATGTCAAACGTATAGATAAAATATATAAAAAAATGCTTTGTTTTTAGAACCTATTGAGAAAATATTAATAGAAATATTAAATTTTTTTTTTCTGTCCGGTCAACTTTGAAATCCATTTCAGAGAGTAAAAAAACTTGAATATGTTTTTTATACAATACATTTTTCAAAATATATTCGGCGATATAACACATCTATGTATGTGTATGAGTCTGATTTTTTTTTTTTTTTTTTTTTATCAAATTAAATCAAATTTTTCAAGTGTACTCCAATTCAATAGTGCTTTGCCCTAATTTCTTGTACATGTGACTGTTTCCAGTGTGCATGTAAAAACTACCGAAATCCATCAGCGTCACGTTCGCCAGAATCGCGTTACAAACTGGCGACTGTCCATTGACCTCTCGACCTATACGTTCTCGAAGGCGGATGACCACGTTCATCATCGGTGCAACACCCGCTCGTTCCACTTTATTGCAGCCATAGTCGCGAGTTCGTCCTACATTTTCGATCAATTATTCAAGAGCGTCGAATGCCGCGGCAAATGTACCTTCTCCGCTCGCCTCCGATTATCCCCCGGAAAGTTGTCGCTCGTGCGTGTGACCGGCCACACGTGCACCAGATCGTCACGTGAGTGACTATAGACTTACTCCTCATCGCGGCTGAACTCATTACCCGTGTAACGAGAAACCATTTCCACGATCTCACGCGACAGCTTCTTACGAACATCTTGACGTACTCGTAGCCATACGAAACTTGAAATTAGCTTTACGTTATGTTAAAATCGGTTCACAAAAAGAAAAGAGATTTATATCTGAGAAAAACTGTATTGATATGAAAGATATTGGTTATCACTCCTCTTTCCAAGATAGATATCAAAAATTTAGTCTTTTTCCAAGAACATTTATTACATGTCTTATTAATTGCATATCTTGAGATCAAATTAAATACGATATCATAAACATAAAAAAATAATTATACACTATACTAAATATTCATCTTCTATATTTACTGTATAATTAAATACGCTAATGAAACAACGAATAAGGATTAACAAATAATTGAATCGTCTCTCACTGATACGAAAAGACACCTCTGAACGATCGAGGATTAGACAAATGGCGCGGTTGGAATCTCTCGAAAAGCGCGCGGATATCGTGGAACCTCGAAATCTCTTCTCGAGGTCTGAGTTAACCAGAGACTTGTGATGATAGGTTAGTGGTCTCGGAGTACGGCTCTCGCCATTGACCATCCATTGGGTTGGAACTCGTAATCTGTAATTATGTTTGCGAGAGAACGCGAGGAGGGGTCATGGGGGATGAACGAGAGAAAAAGAGAGGAACAATAAAAATGCGAAACAGAGAACGGGATAGAGATGGTATAACCGGGAGGGAAAGAAAGAGAGAAAGACGACGACGAGGGGAATGTAAGGTGAGAGTGTGAGACTGGGAGATTGAACTCCCAGTTCGCTCGAGCCAATCCAGAAAGTAATTACCGAATTTCGACGCGCGGCCGCGTCTGCACCGAACGCATAAAGGGAACTCGCGTCATTCGCGTTCGAGTTGGTCGGCGCGAAATATTATTGTCCCCGTAGAGTTTGATCGTGCCATCGAATAAACGTTTGTCACACGCTGCACAATAAAAGTTTGTCTCTCTAGAGTTCTTCGCGGAACTACAGAACAAATTAAAAATTTTATAACTATCGATTATTGACCAGAAACTATATATTTGATACCATGCATTTTTATCGGTAAAAAAACTCGTATGAATTATTTCGAATAACGAATATATACATCTGCTAATGCATTGGAAATAAATTGGAAAGATGTAATAAGAAAAGGATATGAGAAATATGATAATGAAAAGCTAAAATACTTTCAACATATAAAAACTTGGAATATTAAATTCCCAGCCTGTTCGGTTCAATCGCAAAAAGCAATATTCGAATTTCAGAATGACCATGCTGATTCGATAAAGAGAGCACTAAAGCTTGTTCTATTTCAAAATACCATTCGTTATTTCAAGCGATTGATTACGAAAATGAAAGCAAATCGCGCTATTATGCGTATATAATCAGAGAACAATTTTAGATAAAATAAGTAAAAGCATAAATTAAACATAAATCAATTTACATTTACGAAAACAATGCAATAAAGACTTAATCACCAAGTAGCCGAATAATATAAAATTACAAGCTTGATAAACGCAACACTCCTTGTTTGAAATTCACAATAGAACGAGACATCATTTAAAATAGATCCACTATGTATGGCACTAAATCTTCAAGCTCAGCGAGCTCAGAGAATAGACGACGATAATGAGCTGCGACAATAATCAACAGGGAAAACGAGCATATTGGGCGTTCGTTTTGTGCACTTTCGCATCGTGGCATGTAAGACGAGGGAGCTAGAATAATTCCCAGCTCGCTCGGGCCAATCCAGAAAGCAATTACCGAATTTCGACGTGGCCGCGCCCGCGCAGAATTAACAAAAGGACTTTGGTGGTCCTCGCCTCTCGCGACCAGTCTGTCCAATTTCGAATGTTGCCGGCGCCGTTAACTGCGTTACCGCGATAAGAACGGGACAAAACGACATCCGACGGATCGCTTGCTTCTGTTCATAACAGAAGACCCACGCCTTACAATCTTTTTCCTATAGCCGATGTGGCATTCTCACGAGGGATTGTGAAATTTCGAGGGAGACAAGTCGACGCGCTGAGAATTACAATCGACCACGCATTCCTCTGATGCTTAGAATGTTACGTAAAAGCATTCTCGTGTATGTGGTTTTAATAGTCTTTATAACGACATCCTATGTCAAGACTCTTAATATTTTTTTTTTGCTTAGCAACAAAAATTGCACAGCAGTTTGAAAACTTTGTGCTTTCTCGAGTTAGACATCTTAATTCGTATATATTCATCTTCGTAATATAAAAAATCGAATAAAAATTAAGTAACAACAAATTTACGGTACGTCAGTAGATATAATTACGTGTTGAGGAATATATGAAAATGTCGGATAATATTAACGCGATTTTACATCCGGCTCGCACGTGATATAACACCATACGTCAGGATGAGAGGGATTTACTGCAAGGGCCATGAAGGCTGCATAATACAGCGTATTACGATCGTCGGGATACACGATAACAACTGTACGATAATTATTACAGCCGCTCGAGCGATAAACCGGGGTTGAGTGCACGGCTCCTTGTATGACGGGCCTATAATTTGTCGACGTTGAAAGCCACCGCGGCCTCTTCGGGTTCTCGAATTTTGTCCTCTAAATCATTCGCGTGGTCGCGCGACTTCGGTTCCATTCGGCGGACGTTTGTCCCGGTTATTATCACGCTTAAGCGTACAGTGGACAAATGTTTTGCAACGTCGTAAAATACAAGCTGCACGTTGCTGCATCGCAAGAGCCGCAAATACGATCGTGCGACGGAATGATACTAATCAGCTGAGTGCTCGCGCCCCTTTCCATTGTGTCAAACCATTTATTACGTAGGTTTCATCCTCTTATCGTATGGAATACCGTATCTTTTTACGTTTACGCGATGGGTTAATCATATGTTATGTTCACCACGATCTCGCCCACATCCCAACGAGTCGGCGTCGAATTTACGAGACGAGCACATAATTAAGTCCACGTGGCTTTCGACCGTGTATTAAGGAGGGTTTAATTAATTGCCTGCCCACTTATCGCTCAATTATCAAGCACGAGATTCTGTATTGGCGATGATTTTCTGAATCGTGTTTGGCTAGAATAGAGTTTTGGTAGAATAGTTTTATTATATATTAAGGAAGTATACATAAACGAGATTATATATACATATATGCAAATAATGAATATAGCATGTAGTAAATTTAATCGTGATATTACAACATTGTGTAAGAAGAATTCGGACAAAAATAATACTGCAATATGACATGCTTCGTTGCTTCGTTGATTCTTTCGACAAAAAGCAGAATCTCGTATCTAGAATCTTTGTAAAGAGAAAAAGAAAGATAGAGCGAGTTTTGTAATGCGGGAGGTCTGATTTAATTATAAATTAGAGAAATATCTTGGAGAAGGTCTGCAAAGCAAGCTGTCGCGGAATTACGAGTTTCTGAGAGTTTCTGAATAGCGGCCGGAGCAGGGCGCGAATTAGCATCTTCCACTTTACGATTTTAACGCCGATTTATCCGCGCCGGATGAAGGATTATCGGGCATCCGAACGCTCGTGGGAATCTCGCCGTAAGGTCGTAACATAATACGTCCTTTTGTAAGGTGGCTGATCCAGCCTTATCGTCAGAAACTGCAGGTTATACCCGAGAGAAGCGCAGCCTCGAAGAGAGAGAGAGAGAGACGGGAGGGAGGTTTCGAGTCCCGTCCATCTTGCCCACTTTGCAGGATGATAGATGGACGATCTCCTCCTCTCCTTTTCTCCCTTTTTTCTTTCTTTTTTCGTTTTCTGCTGCCGCTCCTCTTGTCTCTCTTTTTTTGCGCCTCGGCTCTCTTCCCGGATCCCGCCATCCTGTCATCCACGAGAGGAGAAGACTCGTGCACTTTTCGACTGCGCGGCTGGCAGCTGCCGGGAACACCAGGAACCTCGGAACGGAAACGGTTCGTGCCCATCGCCCCATCGCGATAAAGACGCGATATCGCTGCTCGTCAAGCCGGCCTGTCTCTATTTTGTTTTTCTCTACAACCGAGGTAGCGTCGTGCCGTATTTGATTGAGATTCCGGATCGTGAAGAATGTTACGGCGCGCGTTCAGAGGAAAAGCATCGAAGACGAGACAGCGTAATCACGCGGGATCGGTATTTCTTATGAACGTCAAGGTGGCTCTTCTCGTTAGTGAGAGGCGAACCGTATGTCGGATACGAGGAGGACCAGTGTCATGTCGTTGGAAAAAAGTCCGTTCGCTTTCTCGATGGATACCTTATGGATGAGCATAATTTGTGTATGCGGAACGGCCGCGTGTTCTTCGATACAATCGCCTTCTGAGATCGTATAGCCGTAGTAGCCAGGAGTATGTGGAATATCTTTGATAAATTGTAAGTAAAATCGATGATCATAAATCAAAAAAGTACAATAATTTTTTTTAAAATACTATATTATAATAATTATTTCTAGATATTTATAATAATCAAATATAAAATTTATCGTCTTTTAATGTGCCAAAATTAATGAGTTTTTATGCATTACATTCTATTAAAGATTCATACACGAAACATCGATTTTATCATATCTGACTAATGACTTCATCAATCTTTGCACATGGCAAATGTCTAAAATCGTGAACTTTCTCCCGTCTAATCATTTTGCCCTCCCTTTGGTTACCAAATCAGGCCACGCTAATAAGACAGTCAGTGAGCGATAGTGCACTCCATACTCAAGCAACTGGTCACGGAAGAGTGAAAACACTTTAGAGCGTCGCGTGCAGAGACGAAAGGCAAGCGTCGGGACGGCGGCATTGCATATCGAACGATCACCTTTAAGAAACTAAACCCCCGGGGTGAAAAGTCGCATATGCAGCCGTGCGTACATTCGATCGACTCGCGGCAGGTTACACAGACTTACCGGCTTGTGCCTCTCGCAGTACATACGTACATACAATAGGTATGTAGGCCGTCTGAAAAGTTTATGCGATAACCCTCGTCGTCGCGCTTAACACAATGACGAGAGAGAAAAAAAACGAAGAGACAGAAAGACGGAGACAGAAATGTAGAGGCGACAATACGTACGTGCGTATTGTGCATGTATCTGGTATATGAAACTTGACATTTGAACATTTGGAGATCTCACATGTAATTATTCTCCCGAGATTTAGCTTCTCGAGAAATACCGGACGCGGATGTTGTTATGATATTACGAACTTTCGTGACATTGTAGCCTCGTTGCAACATCGCTCGTATCTTGCAATGTTGCTGCGCTATTTAGCCGCGCGTTATGTACCGTATACCACTGACAGATTGCATAAATCCCGCGACATAACGTGTTACTGACTCTTAACAAATTCTGCTATTCTTGTTTGTTCGTCGATCTATCGTACGATGAGATATCTTGAATTTGCAATACTAACGCAATAATGTAAGCAAGTCTGTTAGCAAGACACTTAAAGCCTAACGTTAATGATCATAAATGTCGAAAGATACTTATCTCTAATTGTGTAACGTAGATAAAATTTAATTATCAACAAATCAATGTTCGCCAATTTAGATTATAATAAGAAATATTTGTATGATAATATTGTACTTACAGGCGTTTTAAGTTCATCATATTGCTAAAGAGAAGATCGGGCAAGTGGCGTATTTGATTGTTATTTAGACGTAGCTTTTCCACTGCCACCAAATCTTGAAAAGCCCCTCTCTCGATGGTGTGAATTTGATTGTTAGATAGCAACCTGTATATAAAAAATATTTTCCTAATATACAGTACAAATCGGAAAAAATAATTATTACTTATTAACACGAATAAAATATGAACAACTTTATATATTGATATCAAAATAATATAATACAAACTTCTGATTTCTATACTTTATGATTAACGTAATTGAGAAATTAAGAGTAAGTATATTTCTGAAATAATTTTTTTATATTCAACCATAAAAATTAATATGTAATAATATAATTAAGATTTTATATTCCTTATTAATTTGACAATTAATTCAAGAGATTTAGATATATCAAAGTAAAAGAATATTACTTACAAAACGTGGAGCGTTGCCATATCCTCAAAGTCTGTTTTGAATATCACCGATATATTATTTCCTTGAAGGTCTCTGCAACAAGAAAAATAAAATCAATATAAATGTAAGTTCTTAACAAGTGAAACATTAAATAAATTAATAATAGCTGCTACAAAATTATTTGTATGATAAACCGACAAATAATACACGTCATCTCACGTGTAATTACATTGCATAAAAAAAAAAACTGGGCACTTAAACAAGTTTTGTTTCTGACATAATGCAGTGTCATGTTATAAGATTCTTTAACACACAACTCTATCGATTCAACGAATCTAGTTCCATACCCCGTACCCCTTGACACAGAATGAAAGGTGAACAACTGTACCACGAGAAAGAGAGAGTAAGAGAATGACGAGTACACGGTATCGCTGTTCTGCCAATAAAGGGTTATACCACTCCGTTACGAGAAAGCGCGAATTTACTCTTCACATCGAAAAAGAAGAAGACCGTGAAGTAGCCGTCAAACACAGCCGTACGCCAAACGCGTCTACCTCTCTCGGGGAAGTTTTATTAAGGCCTTATTAAATTGGTTCCTTTTCCCGGGGAAACTTTTTACCTGACAAAAAGCTCAGGATAAGAACGAGTAACAAAGTCAGCCTATGCGAGCGCTTTTTCCTCTCAACGCAGATTTCTCCTTTCTGGTCTGACGACCGGCGTAAATTATTCCCTCGTTCTCGTCCAGTGACGTGTAATTCTCTAACGACAACAAAATGACAGAAATGTGCGAAATTTACATCTCACATATGAGATTTAATCCCGGTGCGAATACTCGATAAAATATTATTCTCATCGACTTGTTTTTCATCAGTAAATTTCTCTGATGTTTACTGGTAAACATAACATCATGTTTACTGGTAAACATAACGTCATTAAAAAATCTATATTCTGTTTATTCTATGTATATTCTGTTTATTTGTAATTATATCACATCTTTTTGTTTCAATATTTTATTCCATTTCTTATCTTAATATTAATGTTTTTTGTCATATACGATTTACTATTTGTATTTCTACAGAATTTCGCTAATAAATATAGTGGTAGAAAAATATTCGTTGAATAACACGATACAATTTTAATTCTAGAAAATTCTTGTAGAAACATAAAAGTTTAGAAGTAATGGGAAAAAAATCACTTCTTCGTTGAGTCGTTCGCGAGATAGTTAATTATAATACCCTAAGATAATGACTACGAATACTTCCCGCTAACTTTATTAAGATATTAAGCGCCCTCCTTAATACGTTGCAGGTAATATCTAATTACGAATCGTTATACTTGAAGAGGAAGCTGAAAATACCTCCCGCGGGAGGAGCTTGGCCAATCGCATTATGGAATCGAGGCCCATCGAACCTCGACGCATAATCCACTTTATCGACGATTCGATTAATTCTCGACGGGATAAAACGGTGACGGCTACCCAGCGTCTAACGAGAGCTTTAGGAGCTACCTAACGAACGATGTCACTTTTCCTGTTAACGTTGTCACTACCTCCCATGGTTCTTTTGTAGAATGAGTGCGATGAATGTCGTTATGACGAACAAACAATGTAATTGAGAGAATAGATGACAATATTTTGGTTTCCACTTTCATGTCATATAAAAGTTGATTTGATTAAAGTTCTCTTATCTTAATAAAATAAATCAAAACCTCTGATTTTAATTTCAGTGGTAGATTGTTTGATTAACTTGTCACTGATTTTTTTTTTAATTAAAATATCAAGGCTTTTCGCTCTCTGTAATGTATGTGAGTGTATGTATGTGAGTGTGTATATGAGAGACATTATTTGATCATCTGTGATGAATGGACGTAAACGCAATAGAAGTTTAAACCGCACTGTCTCCGTTATTACTGCGATTATTCAAAGTCGTCGACGACATCCTCTATGCGAAATATCGTGGTTCATGAACCAACCGCTAACTCGCAGAATAAGATAGAAACTTGGCGTGTGCCGTTTGCACGACAGATTTGCGCTTCCTCGAATCCTAATGTGGCCTTTCGCGGAGACCATCGCCCGCTTATGTGGCGTTACGCTCAATTAAAATAGCGCGATATCTTCTCGGAAAGCAATAACTGCGATCGTTCGGATAATCGTCTTGTATGGAGAACCTTTGCTCGACAAACTGAATAGAGGAGTGTCTTGAGCAGTGCAAAGAATCGGTTGCCCGAAGCGACAGTTTGTAATTCGTCGTTATGATGAGACAAAATATCTTCGCGATATATCCATGTTTGCGTTCTGTTTGTTCTCTAAGTATCTTAAGTTCTTTCGATGTATCTTAAGTTCTTTCGAAAGTTTTCGATGAGGGACATTTGCCAGATATCACCTAAGGACAAAAGTCAAGTTTAATTTTTGCTCAACCATTGTAAAATAAAATAACGCTTCATTTATAAATTTTTTAATAATTTATAGTCACTTGAGATTGGTGTAACTTGATGTTAGAATTATTAATGAAAAATCTTTTAAATCAAACATTGAATATCCGTTTGAAGCGTAGTGATATTTAAAATGAATGCACCACTGGATGAGATAAGAATGCACGTCATAACACGAAAGTCACTAAATGATACGCAAAATAATTTGAATTTTTAAATTTATGTCACATTTATGTCGCGCGATGGAATAAATTCCAAAAATTTGAGTCGCATGCATCATTAAATGCGCTTTACGAAATATATTGTTGGCTCGAACTCACAAATAGTCATTACAATTTAGTAACATCAGAGATCGTCCAACAAAAAGGCATAACGACTTAGAAAAAAATAATTAATTCTGAAAGATATACGTAGCGAAAATTTTTTTTTCCGTGCATGCATCATTAAATGCGCTTTACGAAATATATTGTTGGCTCGAACTCACAAATAGTCATGACAATTTAGTAACATCAGAGATCGTCCAACAAAAAGGCATAACGACTTAGAAAAAAATAATTAATTCTGAAAGATATACTCGCTGCTGCGATGATGAATGCTTATCGCGGTCCTGAGATTCAAGCCTGTCGTTGATTCGATTCAATCGCTACAATGACATTGTAAATTCAATAGCATTCTGGAAGACGCAATTTTCATTTTGCACTTTTGCCAGGCGACTCACGTAGCGGATAACGAAATTACATCTCGCGTCGCCGACCGGAACATCCGCTAAATACGTTTCTACGGATTTTCGCGAAGATGGAGGGCCAGAAGCGGCGCAGGAAGGGATGAGAATAGCGGGAGAGTTCTCGACAGTGGTAAATCTAATGGGACTAGGGTTAATGGTGTGAGAATCTAAAAGAACAGAAGGGGGCAGTTCATAGAGTGACGCGGGCTTGGTAGACAATGTCCAAGAATAAGGTGTTGGTGGTACATGTCTATATTTGAGTTGTGGCGGGATGAGAAAGCACAGAGGGAGGGGAGGATAGGCTGCTGGCAGATGTAATCAAAGTTTGCAGACAACCCCGACCCGAAGGAAAGCCTCTGCGAGAAACACAAGGGTAGGAACATAAGGGATACCGCCGCGGGATCGACCGGATATCCGGTCGTATCTCACATCACCGCACGACGCCGCGCGGTGTCGATACGCCTGCTTAATGTCGTAGAAATGTCGCGGGTGGAGATAAAGGAGAGAAATCGAACCGCGACAAGGTGAGACGAGTCTACGGAAAGGATCGGCGACGCGCGTCTCGATTTCCTCGTAAACGGAGCCGTTTGCTTCGTCTTCTTGCCGGAATTTGAGAATCGAATAATTTATAGGCAATGATTACATTCCAATTATGCGTGCGTCTGCTGGTATCATGTGTCTGCATGTATATATAATAATAATAGGAAATACTAGGAAATACCATGACATAATTCACTATATGAGCGCGCACGTATATATAAATATATATCCTCCTAATTATTTCAGTCTATTTAATACTACGTAACATAAAAATTCTCTCGATTTAGGCGTGATAATGTACTTCAGTTCATTTATGTCTGATTGTGAGTCGCACCATTTTTCCACGAAGTTAGAGAGGATCTAACAGAATAATGTACACCTTGTGGCAATAATATCCGCTTGCAGGCCGATTTATTTCCCCGAGAAAATATAGTCTCCTCGCCCGAGTAGATCGCATTTCCAATTTTTCCAGCGCATTCGTAGCGTCTGAAATTACAGATCCAGATAAGTTGAATATTGCATTTAAAGTGACTGTTCATTTCTGCGAACGAATCCATGGAAATTTTGCAGCAAGTTAGATGAAGGATGGACGGAGATAGCTGCTCAATGAAAACATCGTGTCAGATAAGAAAGAAAGCCGGTATGGGGAGAAAATATAGTCTTCTGCATGTCAGCGTAGAAATGCAAATGAAATCTCTTGATTGAGTTCACCATTCAAGTATCGACGCCCTTGGTCTCTCCGGATCGACAAGGGTGGAAGAAAAAGGCAAAGGTATCGAGTCGATTTGACGTATCGACGGCTTTCCGTTCGACTTGCTATTCTCGAATAATTGTGACTATTGGAACGACAGGAATGTGAGCGGTATGCAATGGTTCATTCTACAAACGAAAAATGAGATAAAAACTGGTATTCAGGCTACTTATAATTAGATTCTTTTAATACCATTATTTTTTAAATTAATCATTATCTCATAAACTTGTATGTGTTTTTCAACACTCTGACCATAATTCGTATCACTGTTCCGCAAGCGACATAAATGTCTGTGTATATTGTGAGAAAATGGTAGCAAACTGAAGACGGGGACAGTTGATTCATGGTATAATAGTTTGGTATAGAAGGCAGATGGCTTTTACATTACTGTCGCGTTTTGTGCTCCGTCCCAGAACAATGCAATTAACAGTTCAGTGTTTAAACTTAAGCTTTGGTGGCATTACCGTGGAAACTTATTGCGGTGAGAGAAGTTGTAACGCAACAAACACACCTTGACTTCTGAAACATTTAGACGGGATTCTACGCTGCAATATAGTATCGCTCAGTCTATGCTTGAATTTATCAAGTTGGCGTGCATCCAAGATGAAATTTTTTTTTGTTTCGTGGCGGACGATCGTTCCT